AAAATACTGCCGTTCATGCCACACTTGTCAGGTTAGTGGTAAACCGAATCAGGTTATTCCCCCTGCTCCGCTGCAACCAATTCCGGTTATAGGAGAACCATTCAAACACATAATTCTGGATTGTGTTGGGCCGCTTCTCAAAACAAAATCAGGACATCAGTACATTTTGACCTTGATGTGCGCCGCCACATGCTACCCAGAAGCAATTCCACTACGCACACTCAAGGCCAAAGCTATAGTTAGAGCTTTCATAAACTTTTTCTCCACTTTCGGCTTGCCAAAATCCATTCAGACCGACCAAGGATCCAACTTCATATCCAAACTGTTCGCTCAGGTCATAGCTTCACTGTCCATTAAACACCAAAAGTCCAGTGTATACCATCCTCAGTCACAAGGCGCACTCAAACGTTTCCACCAGACATTAAAATCCATGATGCGTAAATTCTGTCTCGAAACAGGAAAAGAGTGGGATGAGGGTTTACCACTGCTTCTCCTAGCTGCACGAGAAAGTGTGCAGGAATCCACAGGTTTCAGTCCTGCAGAGCTGGTGTTTGGTCACACCGTTCGCGGTCCTCTGCGGTTGCTGAGAGAGAGATACCTGTCTGCCACTACTAGTCCCGTACTGTATATTATATTATACTGTATATTACACTGTATATTATATTATACTGTATTATATTACACTGTATATTATATTATACTGTCTTATATTACACTGTATATTATATTATACTGTATATTATATTGTACTGTATTATATTACACTGTATATTATATTATACTGTCTTATATTACACTGTATATTATATTGTACTGTATTATATTATACTATATTATATTGTACTGTATTATAATATACTGTATTATATTATACTGTATATTATATTATACTGTATTATATTATACTGTATTATAATATACTGTATTATATTATACTGTATTATATTATACTGTATATTATATTGTACTGTATTATAATATACTATATTATATTATACTGTATATTATATTATACTGTATTATATTATACTGTATATTATATTGTACTGTATTATAATATACTGTATTATATTACACTGTAACTGTATTATATTATACTGTATTATATTATACTGTATTATATTACACTGTATATTATATTATACTGTATTATATTATATTATACTGTGATATATTATACTGTATATTATATGTACAAGTAACACTGAATCTTCCATGTTTTACAGGTGACCTGATGAAGCTCAGGTGTTCCTGGACCCATCAGAGGACAGAGACAGCTGCAGCATCAGGACAGTCTGGGTATCCAAAGGAAGACTGATGAAGATGAACACTGACTGCAGAGCTCCATTACCAGCTCACACTTCAATATACTAGAAACCATAAACCTTGATGGAGGACATGATCTGCACAGTTTACATAAAAGTTATAGCTTTGTTACTTACAACATGTGTAACTGGAATATGAATGAAATATAAATAAAGTGTTTTATTTTTAAGAAGAGTTTTGGTCATTTTTAAATTCAGTAATAAGTGTGGTTTTATATAAATAACATGTTATTTCACAGAGGTTTTATGAAGATTTTGAAAGAGTTGAAACTCTGGTCATCTATCAATATGAACATGTGGAATTTAAACCTGTAATAATGACTGTAAGCAACACAATACATTACTGTCTCACAGTCAAATTTATTATGTTGGAAGATAAATTACATCACAATATATAATATAAATGATAGAATATTCAGTATACAGTATTTTTAATGGGGTTTAAACATAATTGCAGCTTTTACAAATATCTGAAGGTTAACTTTGGTAATAATACTTAGTTAAAATATCAGACTATGAAATATGGATACAGTACCGTTAACAGTTGGTTACTGAGCAGTTTTTAAACCACATAAACAATTGACTTTATTAGATGAGTGATTCCTTCAGTTATGTTGGCATGTTGTACAGGATAAAGTATTCCAGGTTTCTGTTTCCATGGTCTCAGTAAACTAATGTGTATAAAGAATATAACAGATGGGAGGTTACAGTAATCATTATACTATTACTCTGATTACTTTGGTACAGTTACTGGCTGTTTCTTCACTAGAAACAACTGCTTGACTAATGTTGTTAATATTATGTAATATATAATATGTTTAACTTCACTGGGCTGTGTAGACTGTAGGTCACTGCTCACTGCTGTACCTGGAAAGACAAGCATAAAACACAGTGTTGGTTCTCATAGTTAAGGTAGAAACACTAACATTATGTGATAGATAGAGGTTAAAAAAAAAAAAAAAAAAATAAATATATATATATATATATATATATATATAGCAGTATTTACCTGAGGAACTCGTCACAGAAAGCTGTAATCCTGATTGTTGTTGTTGATTTCAGGTCAGACTCCCGCTCTAACATGTCCGCTGGTGCAGTTTTTGGTTTAGAAGCAGTTATTGAATTAATATTGACGGTAGAAATGCCTGACACCGCTGCGCTTCATTCAACCAAATTGTAGTAACGCAAGTAACACGCCACTTTACATTCTCAGTAACGGTAACAGCGTTGCAACGATGGGAAAAGTAATTAATTACATTACTCTGTTACTGAAAAAATAACGCCGGTAGTAACGCCGTTATACTTAAATGCCGTTACTCCCAACACTGCAGACCATAGTCCAGTATATTCGACTTTAGCTATGTCAAGAAAAACAAAAGCAGCACCGTGGAGGCTGAATATAAATGTTCTAAAAGGACAAATGAAGGAGGAATTGGTTAAGGAAGCTCAGTCTTATGTTTGGAAGACTGATAATGGGGAGGTGTCTCCATCTGTGCTGTGGGATATGGGTAAAGCTGTAATTAGAGGGAAATTAATTGCTAAATCAGCGTGTTTGAAAAGGCAAAAACAGGAAAAACTCAATAATTAATTTTGGTTATTCCAAAAGAAGGAAAGGACAAATTAGAATGCTCTATTTATAGATCAGTGAGTGTTCCTAACCAAGACTACATACTATTCACTGGCATCCTAGCCAGACGTTTAGAGACAATTCTGCCAGATATAACTCACCAGGACCAGACTGGATTTATAAAACAAAGACAGACACAGGACAATATTAGGCGCACATTACATGTAATGCAAAACATAATCAAAAAAGATTAGAAGCAATAATAGTGGGACTGGATGCAGAAAAGGCATTTGACTCTGTCAGGTGGGATTTCCTGTATATGGTGCTGGAATGATTTGGTTTCCATTAAACTTTTGTCAAAACTATTCAATCTCTCCATAATAAACCCACAGCTAGGATCAAGATCGATGGAAATCTCTCAACTCCCTTCATACTAGAACGTGGATGTCGTCAAGGTTGCTCAATTAGCCCTCTCCTCAGACTCCTCAAACAAAACGAAGATATTTAAGGGGTAGACATAGAGGGGGATGAACAGAAAACAGCATTATTCGCCGATGATTTATTAATATATCTGACGCAACCCACTGAGTCTCTTCCAGCACTCATGTCAACACTTGAGGACTTTGGTTTATTATCAGGCTATAAATTGAATGTGAAAAAGACACAGGTTCTCACATTCAACTGTGCTCCGGATCGAGCTGTAAGAGAAGGATTCAAATTTAATTGGGATTCAAAATCCATTAAATATTTTGGAGTAAATCTACCTCAAGACTTATCTCAACTGTAATCTATAAATTATGATTCATTAATTTAAAAAATAAAATCTGATATCGTAAAATGGAACCTAATCCCATTCACAAGCTTAGCTTCAAGGGTAGAAGTGATCAAAATTAATGTTCTTCCAAGGTTATTGTAGCCTATTTATTCCAAACTCTGCCAGTAGAAATAAAAGATAATAATAAGATATAGAACTCTACAGCTTCCCAGAGTCAAAGGGGGACTAGCTCTGCCCTGTCTTAAGAGCTATTATCAGGCAGCACAACTAAAAACTATGTGGAACTTGTGTAATCCTGCCTACAGGGCGAGATGGAAAGACATTGAAGGTCACACATCAACCATCATGCCAATACAAGTTATAATGAATGATAAAAAACTGAGAAAACATATTAACGAGGAACTAAATCCATGGCTGGGTTCATCCCTTAACATTTGGTTTGAGATTATAGCACAGAATAACCTTATAGAGCAGAGTAGGTTACTGCAGTGGATTGCACATGATTCAGATTTTATACCCAATACAATGGATGGGAGCTTCAGAAAATGGGACAGGGGACCAACAATATTCTGGGAGCTCTTTAAGAAGAAGAAAATTAAAAGTTTTCAAGATCTAAAGAATCAACTTGGTTTTAAAAAACAGGATTTCTACAGATATTTACAGATGAGGCATTATATGGAGCAAACTATAAAAAAGTCCAGTTTAAATGAGGTAGAGTCGGGAATTATTAAATTATTTATTTTAGCATATGAATCAGATCTGGGCCAGAAATGAATCTCAAAATTATATAAAGAAGTGGAAAATGTAAAAGGTCATAATACAGCATATATAAAAGAAAGATGGGAGAGGGAGGTGGGAAGGATGTTGTCAAAGGAGGAATGGGAAGAGATCAACGAACAACAATGGAAGACAACATGCTCCCTCTCATGGAGAGAACATGGTTGGCAGCACATAATGAGATATTTTATTACACCAGCACAACAGAAATCTCAGGATACGAGATGTTGGAGACTATGCGGAAAAAGTAAAGCCAATCATTTTCATAACTTTTGGGAATGCCCCTCTATTATACCTTATTGGCTCAAATTAAAGAAATACATGGGGAAAAAAATTTAAAATGGAACTTCCATTTACATTTTTTGATTTGTACTTGGGAAAACGGAACCAGAGAATAACAAATTCAGGGGACAAATATTTATTCAGAATAATGTTAGTGGCAAGTAAAAAAGCAGCAGCTGAAAACAGAGGTATCTAAAATTGAGGATTGAAGTAATGCATAACATTTAGAACTAGAATCAGATAAAAGTAAGAATATCTGGAATAACTGGGTTGATTTTGTAACACCATTGAGAACAGACTTTATTTGGTGAAAAACAATGTCTCATATGGATCCCCTTGGTTCTTGCTACATATTTTGAGGGTTCATTGTTCAAGATTGTGTTCGGGGTTATCCTTCACCAGGAGAGAAAAAAAACTGACTCATTTCGAGTCTACTGAGTTTTGTGTTTATTTATGAATTTTTGTCTATTTATGTGTTTGATCCCTGTTGTGAAGTATTTGTATGCTCTATATACATGGAAAATATATGGGTGAGATGTTAAATGCTAATGGAAAAATGCCATATCCCAACAGGAAGTCGGCCATTTTGAATAGCAGAGTCATAGCGCCACCTGCTGGCAACAGGAAGTAAGACTTGTGGCAATCATCGTCCGATTTATGTGCAAGTTTTATGATCTACACATGATACTCTGGCACATAACGCAACAGCAGCACATAAGTGCGGACTGCGAGGGCCATCATCGTAGCTCGCAGCTTTATACTGACCCTGATCGCAGGTACAACCACACACAGGAACAGCTATCTGGATGAAACTGCACATATAAAGTATAAAGTACATGATGTCTGTTTGAGACCGTTTGAGTCATAGTGTGTATATCCCAGGCGTGGGCTGTGGTGCAGGGTATTACCTGTCTCTACCTGTCTCTACCTGTCTACCTGTCTATAAGCTTTCTCTGTTCAGAGCTGATGTAACATACAAACCATTAACCACCTGCTTTTCTCAGATTACAACGACTCTGAAATAAAAAGTTGAAAGTGTTTGTTTGCTCTGACTAATGTGTAAATAGAACAGACTGCACACCAACAACAGACTGTACATTTAGAGATATACAGCTCAAATTTTATTTAATCTAAAAGTAAATTGTAAGAAAAGTGTAAATGATTTGTGTTGACAGTGGCTCAGTGTTTAGCACTGAGTCCTGGGTTTGATTCCTGGTTGGGGCTTTCTGTGTCTTACTGTGGGTTTCCTAACCCTGTTTATGCTTAATTCTGCAGTCAGTGCCCATCAGCAAAGGCACTGGTCTGGAGCTGGTGCCCAGGTGCTGTACTGTGGCTGCCTACTGTTCCTGGTTCCACTCCTGGTTCTGATCCTGGTTCCGCTCCTGGCACTGCTCCTGGCACTGCTCCTCGTTCTGCTCCTGGTTCCGCTCCTGGTTCAGCTCCTGGCATTGCTCCTGGCATTGCTCCTGGTTCTGCTCCTGGCACTGCTCCTGGCACTGCTCCTGGCTGGATCTGCTCCTGGTTCCGCTCCTGGCACTGCTCCTGGCACTGCTCCTGGCTGGATCTGCTCCTGGATCTGCCCCTGGCACTGCTCCTGGTTCCTCTCCTGGCACTGCTTCTGGCACTGCTCCTGGTTTCGCTCCTGGCACTGCACCTGGCACTGCTTCTGGCACTGCTCCTGGTTTGGCTCCTGGTTCTGTTCTGCTCCTTTAGTTTCAGTGTACAGTGTACAGTGTGTGATTATAGAGGACAATGAGACTGATTCTTTTCATTTTCTGATGTAATTAACTCTCTCTGATCCTGACTCACTGATACTGACATGTTGTTTGTAGAAAGTGTTTCTCAACATCTAAAAATAACTCACCGGTAAAGCGTACAGGTAAGAACAGGTGAGAATTAACTGCGTGTGCAGTCAGTTGGGTGTGGCTCCTCTCTGAATGGCTGCAGAACGAAACCTTCAACCTCCAGAAACCCTCTTCACAATTATAACACTCCCTCAGCTCCTACAATCATACATTATGTCTGCTGACGTTTCTGATTATGTTAATTTCCTGAAGGGTTATTAATGTGTGTACTGTGATAATGTCAGTGAGCCTTTTAGAGCTTACAGCAGAGCTTCTCTATCCTCTATACAGGTGTCCTACTGATAACCAAAATCGTCTTTGCTTAACATTAAAGTTGGTTATTATTCTAAACACAACAATAAGGTATATGGGTACACACACACACACACACACACACACACACTATATGTACAAAAACAATCACTGTATTCCTACTAACAGGAATATTATCATTCATTTCCCAGAGAGAAAAATAAACCATGTGAACAGAAATTATGTGATTGTTAGAAAATGCATTGGTTAGTAATTTGAGATTCATATTTGAATTAACCAGCAGCCAATAAACATTATTATTAATTGTTGTTGTTAAAGTAAGCTGAATCAGTCTGGTCTGTAACTCTGGGTATATCTGACCCACATACAGCCCCAGAGGTGAGGACAGTATTCTGGGCCTCGTCAGTGCTTTGGATGCTGACAAGAAGCTCCTGGAAAACGGGCTCGCGTTCAACAACTTCCACCTGAAAGAGCTGCTCCACCCAGACAGGAACATCGAGGTTCGGGAGATCCTTGAAGTGGAATTTCTTGTCAACCCACAGTGTCCCATAGGGTCAACACATTTAACATGCCTCTCTCCTCTCACTATATACTTAGAAATGTTAAATCTACTGTGGGTATAAAGCCCATCGACTCATAGCTACAGTACAGCTCAACACACATACCCACAGATAAATAAAACACTAACTCTTACAGTGAAACACATCATGCTAAATATAATCATTTACTATAGACTAACAGTTAATATCAGTTAATATCAGTATCAGTTAATATCAGTTATTATCTGTTGTGGCTATAAGGTTCTACTGGAGCCCCAGACCACCACGAAACGAAAAAGTATTTCCATTAGTCATCCATTTATTAACCAATTAAGTGTTTCTTTAGGATGATGATTGCCATGATGATTGTCATGGTTCTAAACAAAGAAAGAACAAATTACAATATTTCCAAACAAATGTCAGGCTCATCATTCAATCATCTTCTTTACCTTATATATTTTTAATTAATTGACATTAGTTTGTAAAAATCCGTTTTCACTTTGATATTTAAGAGGTTTTTTTTTGCAAATTCTTGTCAAAAAAGCCAAATTATATTGACCATGATTTCATGTATAAAACAAACAAAAGGGTGGAACATCCAAGGGGTATGAATACTTTTTATAGGCATTGTATCTACTATGTACTCAACTACTGTGCTCTGCTTTGATACAACCTCCCAACCTTTCTCTTTTTAAACAGAATGTGCTTTTTGCCGTGCCATACCTTTTTTGTGTCAACACAGACACAAAAAACACAAACTCATTTTCACTCACATTGTGCCAGACATATAAAACCTATAATCAGAATCAGAATCAGAAATACTTTAATAATCCCAGGGGGAAATTATTTTTGTTACAAACTCCAGAAACAACATATATATATATATATATATATATATATATATATATATAAATATATAAAAGATAAAATGTACAGTAATAATAGGCAAAAAGTGCAAAAAATGATGTTGTTTGAGTCAGGTTACAGAGAGGGGGTGTCTGACTCTCTTAGGGAGGCGTTGTAAAGTTTAATGACCACAGGCAGGAATGATTTCCTGTGGTGCATACAGCCTCTGTGTTTCTAGTCCAGTAAAAATATTTTTATATTATAACAATTTTCGTCTGTGTTTTTTTATTGGACTGTATAATAGAAGTTTAACTTTACCATAAACATCACTCAAAATGTGTTTAAGATTCCAAAATGCATTGTCATGTTTGTAGACAGAGTGCATGTACACTTCTGACCAAAGAAATCCTCACAAATATCAAATATCATACTGAAATATTAACAAAATATTGATCTGACGGAGGTGACATAGACCTGATGGAGTTGACCCATATCTGTAGTTGTTTTAGCTATACTTACCCTAACCCTAAACTCATGAAACCAATCAAATACCTGTATTTTAAAACATTAACACAAACAATGACTATGTTGTTTATAAACATTTTATTCACATTGGCTTAACAAGTCTGTTTCGTCCATCACCTCAGGTGAGAGGTGAAATATATCTCTCGTGCTGCTTACACCACTTGGAGTTGATGGCTCAGTCAGCTGTACCACGATGTTTTGAAATGGAATGAAGCACACATCCTTAGCTCCTTGTTTCGGATGAAACTGTGTACTTGGCCCATGAGGATGGAAGAATTCCACCTTAACATCTTGGTGTTCTGAATCTACACCGATGACTTTTGCCAACCACCCGGTCTTGAAATATTCACATGTATGTCAGTGTGTTCTGGGTTGTGGACATGCTACGGTAAGCATACTGACTCATTTCCGGTTTACTTCCTGCTCTGTGTACACTGTTTGGTGCTGTAGCTCTGTCCAGTGAATGCTAAATCTAAATTTGTTTTACTTGTTACAGCGGTTATTTTCCCCTTAACGTTTAAACGTAGACTCGTTCTATCTAAAACACTCGAAACTACTCCTTTTAGCGACTTTTCGCTATTTTCAAAGTTTTTCATATATGCTAGCTTCAGTAACATAAGCAGTTAGCTATGGCTTCTCCCTCTCCTCTGTCCTGCTCAGTGTGCCAGATGTTCAGTTATTCCTCTGCCTCCTTTAATGATAATGGTACATGTATTAAGTGGCCGCTATTGTTAGCCAGCCCCCAGTAGCCGGTGTGGGCCGACCGAAGGTAGCTTCTGCTAGCCATCCCCCGGTAGTTTCCCGGTAGTTCCCCTGATAGATCCCGAGCAGCCGGGCAGACAGGGAGAGTGGGTGACTGAGCGAAGGAAGAATAAAATGCCGAAGCCCACAGTTCACCACCAACCCATTCACGTTTCTAATACATTTTCCCCACTCAGCGATACACCCGCTGAGGAACCAACTCTGGTTATTGGCAGCTCCATAGTCAGAAACGTGAAGTTAGCGAAGCCAGCGGCCATAGTTAAATGTATCCCTGGGGCCAGAGCGGGCGACATTGAATCAAATTTAAAACTGCTGGCTAAAGATAAACGTAAATACAGTAAGATTGTTATCCACGTCGGCGGTAATGACACCCGTTTACCAATTGGAGGTCACTAAGATTAATGTGGAGTCGGTGTGTAATTATGCTAAGACAATGTCGGACTCCGTAGTTTTCTCTGGACCCCTCCCCAATGTGACCAGTGATGACATGTATAGCCGCATGTCGTCATTCCACCGCTGGCTGTCGAGGTGGTGTCCAGCAAACGATGTGGACTTCATTGATAACTGGAAGCCTTTTTGGGGAAAACCTGGTCTGATTAGGAGAGACGGCATCCATCCCACTTTGGATGGAGCGGCTCTCTTATCTAGGAATATGGCGAAGTTTATTTCTAAAACCTGACAGTCCAGAGTTAGGACCAGGAAGCAGAGCTGCTGTCTTACACATTTCTCTGCTCTTCCATTAGTACAGTCACCCACCCAAAACCCCATAGAGACTGTGACTGTCCCCCGACCACCTAAATTATTTAAAGAAATAAAAACAAGAGGAGTTCAACATAAAAATCTAATAAAAATTAAAACTAACTCCTCAGTAGCACAAAATAAGAGAATGAAATGTGGGCTGTTAAATATCAGGTCTCTGTCCTCTAAAGCTGTTTTAGTGAATGAATTAATATCAGACTATGATATTGATTTACTTTGTCTTACTGAGACCTGGTTGTCCCACGAGGAGTATGTTAGCCTAAATGAATCCACCCCCCCCAGTCATATTAATACTTACATTCCTCGAGGCACAGGCCGAGGAGGTGGAGTGGCAGCCATATATGATTCGAGCGTTTTAATGGACCCTAAACCTAAACTAAATTATAATTCATTTGAAAGCCTTGTTCTTAGTCTTTCTCACCCAAACTGGAAAACACTGCAGCCAGTTCTATTTGTTATAGTGTACCGCGCTCCTGGACCGTACTCTGATTTTATATCTGAATTCTCAGAGTTTTTATCAAGTTTAGTCCTTAAATCAGATAAAGTAATTATTGTAGGTGATTTTAATATTCATGTGGATGTTAACAGTGACAGCCTTAGTGCAAAGTAATGCATTTATCTCAATAATAGACTCAATTGGCTTCTGTCAGAGTGTAAATAGACCAACTCATTGTTTTAATCACACTCTTGACTTGTTCTATCATATGGCATTGATATTGAACATTTAATAGTCTTCCCACATAATCCTTTGCTATCTGACCATTATTTAATAACTTTTGAATTCATATTATTAGATTATAAGCCATTAAGCTTAACTTCCCTACAGTCTATCTGACAGTGCTGTAGCTAAATTTAAGGAGGAGATTCCTTCAGTGTTTAATTTAATGCCATGTCTGAATTTAACAGTCCTATAATAACTTTAGTCCCTCTGAAATTGATAATCTTGTCAATAGTGCTGCAGGCTCACTTCGATCAACATTAGACTCTATCGCTCCTATAAAAAGGAAATTATTAAAAAATAGGAGACTAGCACCTTGGTATAACCACCAAACCCGCCAGTTAAAACAAATAGCTAGGAAATCTGAAAGGAAATGGCGCTCTTCCAAATTATCAGAATATCGCTCAATTTGGCAAGATAATCTTAAAACTTATAGAAAGGCCCTCCGTAATGCCAGAGGAGCCTATTACTCAGCACTAATAGAAGAAAATAAGAATAACCCTAGGTTCATCTTCAGCACTGTAGCCAGGCTGACAGAGAGTCACAGCTCTATTGAGCCACATATCCCCATAAACTTAAGTAGCAATGACTTCATGAGCTTCTTCTATAATAAAATTATTACTATTAGAGAAAAAATTAATCACCAACTGCCATCAACAGTTATCAGTGGCTCTCCAAGTTCAGGGACTTTTGCTAATGTAAACTTAGATATATATTTAGACTGTTTTTCTGCTATCGATCTTCATCAGTTAACTTCAATAATTTCTTCATCGAAGCCATCAACCTGTCTATTAGACCCGATCCCAACTAGGCTGCTTAAAGAAGTTGTTGCCTTAATTGGCACTTCTTTACTGGATATGATTAATCTTTATTTATTATCAGGATATGTACCACAGTCCTTTAAAGTAGCTGTAATTAAACCCCTTCTTAAAAAGTCCACTCTTGACCCAGGGGTTTTAACTAACTATAGAACAATCTCTAACCTCCCCTTCCTCTCTAAGATTCTGGAGAAGGTAGTCGCCAAAGAGTTGTGTGACTTTCTACATAACAATAGTTTATTTGAGGATTTTCAGTCAGGATTTAGAGTTCATCACAGCACAGACACAGCTCTGGTTAATGTTAATAATGACCTTCTGATTGCTTCTGACAGTGGACTTGTCTCTGTACTTGTATTATTAGATCTTAGTGCTGCATTTGACACCACTGACCATGATATTTTTTTACAGAGACTTGAGCATCAAATTGGCATTAAAGGAACCGCACTAAGCTGGTTTAAGTCATATTTATCAGATCGTTCTCAGTTTGTACATGTTAACGATGACTCTTCAATAAATACTACAGTTAGTCATGGAGTTCCACAAGGTTCTGTACTTGGACCAATATTATTTACTTTATATATGCCCCCTTTAGGCAACATTATTAGGAATCACTCTATTAACTTTCACTGTTATGCAGATGATACGCAGTTATATCTATCGATCAAGCCCGATGAAATTAATGAATTATCTAAATTACAAACATGTCTTAAGGACATAAAATCCTGGATGAGCTGCAATTTTCTGATGTTAAACTCAGGAAAAAACGAAATTCTTGTTCTTGGCCCCAAAAACCTTAGAGACTCACTGTCTAAAGATATAGTTACTCTAGATGGCATTAACTTGGCCTCTAGAACCACTGTCAGGAATCTTGGAGTTATCTTTGATCAGGATTTGTCTTTTAACTCCCACATAAAGCAGACCTCTAGGACTGCCTTCTTTCATTTACGTAATATAACAAAAATTAGACACATCCTATCACAGACAGATGCAGAAAAACTAATCCATGCATTTGTTACTTCAAGGCTGGATTACTGCAACTCTTTATTATCAGGTTGCCCCAATAAGTCCATTAAAACGCTCCAATTAATTCAGAACGCTGCAGCACGAGTACTGGCAGGAACTAGAAAAAGAGATCACATCTCTCCTGTACTAGCTTCTCTGCATTGGCTCCCTGTAAAATGTAGAATAGAATTTAAAATCCTCCTCCTCACCTATAAAGCTCTTCATGGTCAGGCCCCTTCATATCTTAAAGAGCTCATAGTACCCTATTACCCCACTAGAACACTACGTTCTCTGAATGCTGGACTACTTGTGGTTCCTATAGTCTCTAAAAGTAGAACAGGAGCCAGAGCCTTCAGTTACCAAGCTCCTCTCCTGTGGAACCAGCTTCCAGTTGTGGTTTGGGAGGCAGACACCCTCTCCACATTCAAGAGCAGGCTTAAGACATTCCTCTTTGATAAAGCTTATAGTTAGGGCTGGATCAGGTGAGTCCTGAACCATCCCTTAGTTATGCTGCTATAGGCCTAGATTATCAGGGGATTTCCCATGGTGCACTGTGCTCCTCTCTTCCTCTCTCTTTCTGCACTCATTCATGTCCCATTAATGCATGTTACTAACTTCACTTCTTCCCCGGAGTTCTTGTGCTTTCTCGTCTCGCAGGTTCTTATCGATCCTGGTGGAGCCTCCTGCCATGGTCCTGCTAGATTGCCATTGCCAATACTGTTGTTACTGTACACCTGTCTGTCTCTCTCTGTCTCTGTCTGTATGTCTCTCTCTCTCTCTCACACCCCAACTGGTCGAGACAGACCACCACCCACCTAGAGCCGGAGGATCTGTCCTAGGTTTCTGCCTTTTAACAGGCAGTTTTTCCTTTCCCTTGTCGCCAAGTGCTTGCTCATGGTGGTACTGTTGGGTCTCTGTAAATAATGTTATATAGAGTTCGGTCTAGATCTGCTCTATTTGAAAAGTGTCCTGAGATAACTTCTGTTATGAGTTGGCGCTATACAAATAAAATTGAATTGAATTGAATCACCAACTGCCATCAACAGTTATCAGTGGCTCTCCAAGTTCAGGGACTTCTGCCAATGTAAACTTAGATATATATTTAGACTGTTTTTCTGCTATCGATCTTCACCAGTTGACTTCAATAACTTCTACATCGAAGCTATCAACCTGTCTGTTGGACCCGATCCCAACTAGGCTGCTTAAAGAAGTCGTACCCTTAATTGGCACTTCTTTACTAGATATAATTAATCTCTCTTTATTATCAGGATATGTACCACAGTCCTTTAAACTAGCTGTAATTAAACCCCTTCTTAAAAAGCCCACTCTTGACCCAGGGGTTTTAGCCAACTATAGACCGATTTCTAACCTCCCCTTCCTCTCTAAGATTCTGGAGAAAGTAGTCGCCAAAGAGTTGTGTGACTTTTTACATAACAATAGTTTATTTGAGGATTTTCAGTCAGGATTTAGAGTTTATCACAGCACAGAGACAGCTCTGGTTAAAGTTAATAATGACCTTCTGACTGCTTCTGACAATGGACTTGTCTCTGTACTTGTATTATTAGATCTTAGTGCTGCATTTGACACCATTGACCATGATATTCCTTTACAGAGACTTGAGCATCAAATTGGCATTAAAGGAACCGCACTAAGCTGGTTTAAGTCATATTTATCAGATCCTATCGGGGGATTTCCCATGGTGCACTGAGCTCCTCTCTTCCTCTCTCTTTCTGCACTCATTCATGTTCCATTAATGCATGTTACTAACTAATTGAATTGAATACAGCCGTATGAGTTCTGCTAGGGTTCCAGTGTGTTTCACAAGTTTAGTGTTATGGTAAGATTCACCTGCCACTTGGTCCTTCACTTGTTCCCACTGTTGCCACTGTAATGTAAAATTTTAATACACTATAATACACTATATGTAACCTCATGCTTATGAACTACTGTGTGTGCAAAATGTATATCTGTTCCAGGGTTGCTCTCAGCACCTGTTAATTTTCCCACACAATAAAGACTAACAGTCAACCTGTGGTTACAATGTCTCTGTTATTGAGGGAGGAGAGGCTGAACCCGGTGGAGACTGGCTCCAGGCATCTCCTATGAATACAAGGTCATGATGCTCGTTAGCATGACTAGCTGTTATCTACTTTGTACCTCCTGTTTTGCTTCTTCAATAAATAAGGGTGCAGCCCTAAGAAGGGAGACCTTTTCATGCTGTCAAGCTGAGAGGCTTGCTCTGCGCAGAGCTACACACGGGTGAAAAGACTGACTGACTGACTTTTTAATTCTTGCATCTCACATGAATGGGCTGAATTGAATTTCCACCTCACCACTCAATATGAATCAGATTTTGCTGCACTGAAACAGATGTGCTTTTGTGAAGGCATCGAGTACAAACACAGAAGACATGCTTCACTGGGAGCAGAGCAACAAACAAGCTCAAAACTATCCTCATACCTGCTACTCTCAGTAACGCCATGTTCTCTCAAGACCTCAAGCATCAGCTTTGCATTTTCATGGAATTGGCACTGACAGGTCTTTCGATCAGATTGCTTGGGTGCTGTGACATCAAAGGGCCGAAGAGAGCAGAAAGATGTGAGAATAACTCACAGTAACGTCTGTGTGTTGCTTGGTAACCTTTGATCATTGTGTCTGAGAGGACCATTCTTTGATGTTTATTCTTCTTCTTGTAATTGTATCTTGCTTGTCAGTGGTCATACGTGCAGAATTACAAAAGCAGTTTTGGACTGTCTGGGGGGTGAGTTGTGAGTTGTCTGGAACGCAGCATCAACTGCTGCTGGCCTCCCGTGGTTTACTATTGTTATGTCTGTCACAACCTTCGGAGTACATCCATGGTCACAACCACAATATCCCGCATCAACAGGTTTTTTTTTTTATGTTTATCACACGCCGGAGATACGGCACGGTGCCGGAATACTTTAAGCCCTGAGAGAGGGAGACTAGACATAGACACACTATGTACACTTACCAGTATGTTCCATGAGCCCTGTGTTTCTTCATTTAAACCCTGATAGCTGAAAAATATAAATTCTCAAAAGCAATAAAAAAGCTGAAAATGCTGATGCCACATTTCTAGTACTTATATATTACTCAATAAACCTATAATCTATTTATGTACTTGACTAAACACAAAAACAAGAGGCCTTCCCATTGAATGTCAACTCTGTCATTCACCTGTCACCTCTCTCAGACAAAAAATCTGACGAAGTTGACATAATAGCCATTTTATTCACAAAACAAATGGAGTTTATGTAGCAGCCATTGTGTTTGTAGCTTGATGCTAGATGCTGACATAATCCACTTCAGGACAGTAAAATAATCTAAAAATTCTAAACAATTTCTTCAGAAACTGGATGACAGTGTTGACATATCATGGTTTTGACACAGGAAATATTAACATTAAGATTTAAAATACTATAATAAACTATAAAACTTACCAGAGCCTGTCTGCCAGTGATGACTCAGCATAGGTGGAATGGGACAAGGACCCCTTTAAGGCCCATACACACCAACCCGATTATCAGCCGTCGGACGTCGTCGGACAGTCAGGCGAGGTCGGTGACTCGAATCAGTTCGGTGTGTCCCGTGCCGTCGTCAGCCGGCGTCAGCGTTCATTTTGGCCGATTCGACATGTAGAATGACAAATCTGGTTGGAGTGCTCGCCAATCGAGAAAAACGGAAGTGACGATGGTAAACATACTACGCCAACACCAGTATCTTGTTATTATTAGCCATCATATTTTCCGTTCAGCGAGTAATGACAATAACGATCCTTCTTGACTACTATCAACACTCTCTGATGAAAACAATGACTGATGACAGAGTGCTCTGTGTTTACTAGGTCTTGAGTGATCCGTCATTTCCGGTTTTAATTTTTTTTGGGGGGCGACAACACAGATTAGCGCCGCCTGCTGTTATGGGGACGTATTATGCCTCTCGCACGCGCAGAACATACGCTCCAGTCGGCGTCGGTTTGGTGTGTTCGGAGGCATTTTTTGGACCGACTCGGGGAGACGGGGGCCGACTGATCAGTCCAACTGCTTTACTGCCGACGGTCGGCCGTCGGGTGGTGTATACGGGCCTTTAGAGTGACTGCTGCCCTCAGTATTGCCTGAATTTATTACATTTTACTAAATGTCTGACGGTGTTGACAAAAAGTGGGGACACAACTTTGAAACCTTGTGAAATGTGAAAAGTGTCATTGAAAAACAACTTTGCTCTGATATAATATATTATTAAGGTTTTCTTTTGGTGAAGCAAGTTCTTTTTAATTAACATTTTTGTCCATTTTATTTAATATGAATGATTGAACCCTTCTCTGTGAACATGCTGTTTCTGATGTAGTGGGAAGACAGCAAGTGTCATAAATCTTATAAAATAATGTATAAATTAAATTGAATTGGATAATTGTGTTCAGTACATTCTATTGTTAATCCCTCGTAACATCTACAATAGAAATACAAGAATCAGTGCAGATCAGAGCTATCATCAGTGTGTCCTGATATTGATAATTGAATATTTAGTTAATCAACTTTTATCAATTGTTTATATCGAATGGTAAATTATATACTGCACAAATAAAACATAATTTCATTTTTTATTTAGAAAGTTTGTGCAAATTTTCAATTTAACATTTTACAAAATATAAAATATTAATGTCTTAGTGAACCACAGAACCGGAGCGGGCCCAAATGAGCCACAGAACCCGAGTGGGGCGGGCCGACGGAGGCCAACTGATATCCAATGGCTCCGACCAGGACTCTGACTCTGGGGATGAAGACCTGGCGGGTTCAGGCAGTGACAGGAGAGGAAGAGGAGGAAGAGGAGCCAGTTGGGAGCCAGTTAATTAGTCAGTAACTGTTACTTGTTGAACGAGGTACGCTGAAACAACTTCAGGTTAATTATTAAATATAAATTGTTGTTTGTCGACAGTCAGTTCTTGCACTGCGTTACCATGGTAACACTGACACTGACACTGGTTTTACTGGAGACCGGTTCCAGTGATGACCCCTTATTCAGTCCTAGTCAGGGTCCCCTTGGACAGGACAGGTCCATTAGAAGTGGACATGTCCAGAATGAGGATTAGCTGGCGGTCCTCCCGGGGCCAGGTCCTGGATCAGGTTCCTGCTGACTACGTAGTGCTGGGTCAGGGTCTCGTCAGTCCACTCAGTCCTGGACAGCAGCTGGTCCATGTGAGGCCCCAGGGTCCTGTGAGGGTACGGACTGATGGAGGGGTCCCGCTCCAGCACAGACTGTCCAGGGCCTCGATGAGGTCCATCGGGTGCATAAAGTGGACCTGTCAGTACAGAACTGTCCCGATCCAGGGGGGTCTGCAGTCCCTGGGTCTCCATCTGGTACAGCTGCTTCTTATGGACCTGGATGTGGTCCTGGTGGTCTAGTCTAGAATGGCACAGCTGCTTTTTGTGGATCAGGTGGTCCTGGTGGTCCAGTTGAGCCTGGTACTGCTGCTTCTTCTGGTTCTGAATTTGGTCCTGGTGGTCTATCTGAACTTGGTACTGCTGCTTCTTCTGGTTCTGAATATGATCCTTGCCCTGCTGGTCCATCTGGGTCTGGTACTGCTGCTTTTTCTGGTTCTGGATTTGGTCTTGCTGTTCCTGGTCCTGCTGGTCCATCTGGGCATGGAACTGCTGCTTCTTCTGGCTCTGGATTTGGTTGTGGACCTGGTTCTTGATGTCCTTCCAGTGCCGGCCTCTGAGGACTGGCTCCAGGTCCAGACAGCGCTGACAGACCTCCTTCCCAGGGACTGACTGGACCAGGACATGGACTCCCAACTGTCTCCAGACTGCCTCCTTCTCTGCAGACGACCAGGGCCGGCGCCGCACCTTCCGAGGCCCTGCTGGGACTGAAAGGCAGACGGGAAGGGGGTCAGACCAGACCTCCTGACCGGACAGCGGACAGCTGAATCAAGGAGAACCCACCTGTGACTGGAGTCTGCAGTCTGGACTCTAGGGTGGTCACTGGTCGGGTACTGGTCTCTGGTGGACCTACAGACAGGCAGAGAGACGGGTCAGGGTTCAGGGTCTGGACTTTAATCCTCGGAGCCAAAGAGAATATACTGATGACTTGAATTGTGATAAAACCACAGTTTCTGTGGTTGATGACCGATTAAATAATGAATAAATGATAATCAATAATTAATAATAAAATATTTGGTTGAAGCTGTCAGTTAGTGGTTTTGAATCAAAAACCATCAGCAGATAACAGCTGTCAAAGCTGAACACACAGATTATTTCTTCAAACAAAAGTATTCAGCCTGATTAATTATCTATTAATTTTTCCTGTCCACCGCAAATCAGTAACACTAATGATCTCTACTTGGTTCAATTCAATTAGATTTTATTTGTATTGCACCAATTCATAACAGACGTTATCTCAGGGACTCTTTTCAAATAGAGCAGGTCTAAACCGAACTCCTTATGATCACCGCAGATAGGATCAATAACACCAATGATCTGTTAGTGATCACCACAGTTGGTCTTACTCATATTCTATCTGTGCAGGATCAGAACTCACCCTCTGGTCTTGGTCCAGACAGCTCCTGATCCTGGTCTTTACAATCAGGTCTGGGAGTTGGACTACATAGTATGGTTTTTTCAGTCGTTGGCTTGCACAGAGACAGCTCTAGTTAAAATAAAAAAAAATTTTATTTTAATGGTTTTTTTTTTTTTTATATTTTTTTTTTAAAAAAAATAATTTTTTAAAAAAAAAAAAAAAAAAAAAAAAAAAAAAAAAAAAATTTAAAAAAAAAAAAAAAAAAAAAAAAAAAAAAAAAATATTATATATTAAAAAAAAAAAAAAAAAAAATATAAAAAAAAAAAAAAAAAAAAAAAAAAAAAAAAAAAAAATATAATATATTAATTAACATAAAATCCACATTTGCCCAACAACTTGTCTCCTATCTCTGGAGGTCTTTCCTGATTTGTTATTAAGGTGTATTTTTGGAAAAGTCCATCAATGCAGACCCGGTCCTTCCATTTTGGCCCCCCCCTCCCCCCCCCCCCCCCCCCCCCCCCCCCCCCCCCCCCCCCTCTCTCTCTCCCCCCCCCCCCCCCCCCCCCCCCCCCCCCCCCCCCCCCCCCCCCCCCCCTTCCTTTTTTACTCTCCCTTTTTATTAAATAAAAAAAAAAAAAAAAAAAAAAAAAAAAAAAAAAAAAAAAAAAAAAAAAAAAAAAAAAAAAAAAAAAAAAAAAAAAAAAAAAAAAAAAAAAAAAAAAAAAAAAAAAAAAAAAAAAAAAAAAAAAAAAAAAAAATTAAAAAAAAAAAAAAAATTTTTAAAAAAAAAAAACCCCCTTAACACACCCTTTAAAAATTTTATTACTATTGATCCAGATCTCCTGTACACCATCATACTGCAGACCTGAACCACTATAGACCTAAACCACTGTAGACCTAAACCACTGTGGACCTAAACCACTGTGGACCTGAACCACTGTGGACCTGAACCACTATAGACCTAAACCACTGTGGACCTGAACCACTATAGACCTAAACCACTGTAGACCTGAACCACTGTAAACCTAAACCACTGTAGACCTGAACCATTGTAGACCTAAACCACTGTAAACCTGAACGACTGTAGACCTGAACCACTGTAGACCTGAACCACTGCAGACCTAAACCACTGTAGACCTGAACCACTGTAGACCTGAACCATTGTAGACCTGAACCACTGTAGACCTGAACCACTGTAGACCTGAACCACTATAGACCTAAACCACTGTGGACCTGAACCACTATAGACCTAAACCACTGTGGATCTGAACCACTGTAAACCTAAACCGCTGTAGACCTGAACCATTGTAGACCTGAACCCCACACAGACCACATTGTTACCTGTGTTGGGGTCAGTAGATATTGTTACCTGTGTCGGGGTCAGTAGATATTGTTACCTGTGTCGGGGTCAGTAGATATTGTTACCTGTGTCAGGGGTCAGTAGATATTGTTACCTGTGTCGGGGGTCAGTAGATATTGTTACCTGTGTCGGGGTCAGTAGATATTGTTACCTGTGTCAGGGGTCAGCAGGTTTTGTTACCTGTGTCGGGGGCTGCAGGTATTGTTACCTGTGTCGGGGTCAGCAGGTATTGTTACCTGTGTCGGGGGTCAGTAGATATTGTTACCTGTGTCGGGGGTCAGTAGATATTGTTACCTGTGTCGCGGGGTCAGTAGATATTGTTACCTGTGTCTGGGGTCAGTAGATATTGTTACCTGTGTCGCGGTGTCAGTAGATACTGTTACCTGTGTCGGGGTCAGCAGGTATTGTTACCTGTGTCAGGGTCCAGCAGACCCAGGCTGTCCCACTCTCTCCCCAGCAGGTGGTAGAAGTCGGTGGTCTTGGCCGCAGCCTCCCAGTCTCCGTCCTGCAGACTCTCTCCGATGGCGATTTCACAAACCGTCTTCAGCGTGGTCTTCACTGCCAGCGGGGGCCGGCTCCAGCGGTACCCAGACGCCTTCCTGGCGGCAGCAAGAGCCAGGCTGAGGCGCCCTGGGGCCAGGAGATCCTGGAGGGTCTGGACACCAGAGTCCAGAGACTTGGCGGCCAGGAGGAACCTGCCGAGCTCCCTTAGCTTCTGACTGACGTAGTCGTACCTCCTCTGGCCACCATCTTGGTTCCCCATCAGCTTGTTTCCATATTTACAGATCAACCAATCAGATTTGACCTGGACACAGCAAGGAGGGGTGGGGTCAAAACAGACCGGTAGGAGGCAGTGTGTGACAGCCATGATCAATACTGTGGTCAATAAACAAATATTGTTATTGTTAGAGTCAACATGCTTTTATCGATTCGGTAAACAAGATAAACAAAACATTGTAGCAAATAGCATCAAATAGCAAATAGACTGTAATTGTAACGGTTGTGTTGTAACAAATCCAATGGGGGGGGGGGGGGGTCAACGGACCTGGTGGGAGACGTGGTCCTGGTTCATGCGGTGCAGGACTTCGCTACAGCTCTCAGACGCACCGCTGGAGATCGGAAGGAGGCGGGACGCTGCAGCCTGGACCCTGCTGCGCTTCCTGGGCCGGTCGGTGCTAGGGTCAGAGGTCACATTCTGGTCCACAGCGGGGTCAGAGGTCACATTCTGGTCCACAGCGGGGTCAGAGGTCACATTCTGGTCCACACCAGGGTCAGAGGTCACATTCTGGTCCACAGCGGGCCGTTTGGTGCCGATCTGCTCTGCTGTGGCGGTCTCTCCTAATGGCGGTCTGTCCTCTGTGGAGGATCTATTGTCTGCTGGATCGCAGTCCAGCTTACCTGTGGACTCCACGACGGGGTCAGAGGTTGTCTCTGCTGAGGGGGCGGAGTCTTTGGAGGGGTCAGAGGTCATCTTCCTACGACAGGACGCCTGATGTTTCCAGAGGTCAGCACGCAGGAAGAAACCGAGGCATAGCGGGCACGGCAGGTAGTTCCTCGCATCCACTTCCTCTGAAGGCTGACGCCAAGGGACGATCTCGCCACTGCCCTGTCTGATCACCTGACCCACAGACAGGACGTCAGAGACAGACAGGAGGTCAGAGATAGACAGAAAGGAAGTCAGAGACAGACAGACAGTAGGTCAGAGACAGACAGAAAGGAAGTCAGAGACAGACAGACAGGAGGTCAGAGACAGACAGAAAGGAAGTCAGAGACAGACAGGAGGTCAGAGACAGACAGGAGGTCAGAGACAGACAGTAGGTCACAGACAGACAGACAGGAGGTCAGAGACAGACAGGAGGTCAGAGACAGACAGACAGACAGGAGGTCAGAGACAAACAGGAGGTCAGAGACAGACAGACAGGAGGTCAGAGACAGACAGACAGGAGGCAAGAGAAAGACAGACAGGAAGTCAGAGACAGACAGGAGGTCAGAGACAGACAGACAGACAGACAGACAGGAGGTCAGAGACAAACAGGAGGTCAGAGACAGACAGACAGGAGGCAAGAGAAAGACAGACAGGAAGTCAGAGACAGACAGGAGGTCAGAGACAGACAGACTACATAGACTGATATATTGATCACTAGTGATGGCAGTGCGACACTGAAGCTTCGATACGTGCTTCGAATCCTGAACTACAATTCCATAGAACCACTGCTTCAAAGCTTGCTTTGATGCGGAAAATAATCACGTGACAAATGACGTCACAAAGTTTTTTTGTTGACGTCCAATCAGGTGATTCACTGCCCAGATTCCAACAGGTGACAGGTTGAGACAGTTTTGAATTTGAGCGCCATTAACACTTTATAACCGCTCTAAACAATGCACAATTTGTGGGTTGTTATCGTAGTTGGAGAGTTATTACTTTTGAGTTATTGCATTTGTATTGATTCATTGCGTTTGTATTGATTCATTACCCAGCATCAAGTGTCCCCTGTGAGCAAGTATTCTCCAAATGTGGAGAAATAGTGAGCAAAAAAAGGAACCGGCTCAATCCAAAAACTGTTGAAAAAAATAATGTACCTTAATAAAAATCTTTGACTGTTCCCCATCCCCTCCTGTCATAGTTACACAAGCACACCCCAACCTATACAATATTTTCCCAGCATTCTCTCCTCAATAACATAATACACACATTCATCAATCTTTATTTGTAAATAGAACATGATATAGATAAGAATTTTCAAAGCAAATACACTTTACATCCAAGGGTGATCAAAGCAAACAAGCTTCAGAACAAAAGGTGTTTTCTACAAAGTTTCTCTAACACTGCTCGCTAGATGTGTGCGTGTGCGTGCATGCAAGTATGTAATTAAAAGCCTCCTGTCCATCAACCAGTCGGCCTAATTTGACTGCAGCCTTGCACTTTGCCAGGAGAGGTCACTGTAACTGAAGCTTCGAGTAATGAAACATTGTGAAACAATTGGCTCAAGTGGTTCAGTGCTTCACAAAAGCTTCGTTTGCCCATCACTATTGATCACTAACAGTTTATAGACTGATATATTGATCACTAACAGTATATAGACTGATATATTGATCACTAACAGTATATAGACTGATATATTGATCACTAACAGTTTATAGACTGATATATTGATCACTAACAGTATATAGACTGATATATTGATCACTAACAGTTTATAGACTGATATATTGATCAATATAGACTGATATATTGATCGCTAACAGTTTATAGACTGATATATTGATCACTGACAGTATATAGACTGATATATTGATCACTAACAGTATATAGACTGATATATTGATCACTAACAGTATATAGACTGATATATTGATCACTAACAGTATATAGACTGATATATTGATCACTAACAGTATATAGACTGATATATTGATCACTAACAGTATATAGACTGATATATTGATCACTAACAGTTTATAGACTGATATATTGATCACTAACAGTATATAGACTGATATATTGATCACTAACAGTATATAGACTGATATATTGATCACTAACAGTATATAGACTGATATATTGATCATTAACAGTATATAGACTGATATATTGATCACTAACAGTATATAGACTTATATATTGATCACTAACAGTATATAGACTGATAAATTGATCACTAACAGTATATAGACTGATATATTGATCACTAACAGTATATAGACTGATATATTGATCACTAACAGTATATAGACTGATATATTGATCACTAACAGTATATAGACTGATATATTGATCACTGATATATTGATCACTAACAGTATATAGACTGATATATTGATCACTAACAGTATATAGACTGATATATTGATCACTAACAGTTTATAGACTGATATATTGATCACTAACAGTTTATAGACTGATATATTGATCACTAACAGTTTATAGACTGATATATTGATCACTAACAGTATATAGACTGATATATTGATCAATATAGACTGATATATTGATCACTAACAGTATATAGACTGATAAATTGATCACTAACAGTATATAGACTGATATATTGATCACTAACAGTTTATAGACTGATATATTGATCACTAACAGTATATAGACTGATATATTGATCACTAACAGTATATAGACTGATATATTGATCACTAACAGTATATAGACTGATATATTGATCACTGATATATTGATCACTAACAGTATATAGACTGATATATTGATCCTAACAGTATATAGACTGATATATTGATCTAACAGTTTATAGACTGATATATTGATCACTAACAGTTTATAGACTGATATATTGATCACTAACAGTATATAGACTGATATATTGATCAATATAGACTGATATATTGATCACTAACAGTATATAGACTGATATATTGATCACTAACAGTATATAGACTGATATATTGATCACTAACAGTTTATAGACTGATATATTGATCACTAAAGTTATAGACTGAATTGCTTAGACTGATATATTGATATTGGTTTGCATAGTGAATACTACGCACTTCATTTAGTCCACATCAGTACATACTGCTGGTAGGAGGGTTAGACAGTGAGACAGACAGACACAGTGAGACAGACAAAGTGAGACAGACACAGTGAGACAGACAAAGTGAGACAGACACAGTGAGACAGACAGACAGGAGTAGAGACAGACAGGTGTACAGACCTCAATGTTGTGCATGTAGTTGCCCCTGCAGCGCAGGTGTTCCAGCAGCAGGTGGCGCTGTCTGGAGCCTGTGGGCAGCGTGCTGGCGGTCGCCACTTCCTGTTGGTCGGCGTGTTTCCTCAGCAGGTGGCGAGCAATCTTCACCTGCGGCCGGCGGCAGAACACGCAGTAATGCTTCTTATCCCAACGCCGCTTCCCGTCGCTCCACGTCCTCTTCACCGTCACGCCCTCCTTCTTCTCCTCCTGACCCCGCCTCTTCTCTTTCTGACCACGCCTCTTCTCACCGGGGCCCCGCCTCTTCTCCGCAGCCCGCCTCTTCCCTCTCTGACCCCGTCTGCCAGGGACGGCGGCTCCCTGGCGACGGGGCCGGCGGCCATCAGTCTTCGTTAGCTCCTCGTCCGGAGAGGAGGTGTGGTCTGAGGCCTGGACCCCGGTACTGTTCGCCATGGCAACCAGAGCACGCCCACAGCGGTTGCCGTGGTAACAGAGGACCTGATGATGAACACACACACACGAACACACAGGTGTGCACATTTGAACTGACAGCAGCTGTAACTTCAGGTAAAACTGTTTTTATACAGAATGAATCCATCAAACTGCTTCAGAGACACCAGATGTGATTTCCCCTTGGGGATGATCCATCTATTGATCGATCCATCTATTGATCTATCCATCTATTGATCCATCCATCTATTGATCTATCCATCTATTGATCCATCCATCTATTGATCTATCCATCTATTGATCGATCCATCTATTGATCTATCCATCTATTGATCCATCCATCTATTGATCTATCCATCTATTGATCCATCCATCTATTAATCCAGAATGCTGCGCGAGTACTGACAGGAACTAGAAAAGAGATACACTCTCCTGTACTAGTTCTCTGCATTGGCTCCCTGTAAAATGTAGAATAGAATTTAAATCCTCCTCCTCACCTATAAAGCTCTTTGGTCAGGCCCCTTCTATCTTAAGGCTCATAGTTCCTATTACCCCACTAGAACACTACCTTTCGAATGCTGGGCTACTTGTGGTTCCTATAGTCTCTAAAGTAGAACAGGAGCCAGAGCCTCGTTCCAGCTCCTCTCCTGTGGAACCAGCTTCCGTTGTGGTTCGGGAGGCAGACACCCTCCACATTCAGGTAGGCTTAAGACTTCCTCTTGATAAAGCTTATAGTTAGGGCTGGATCGTTGAGTCCTGAACCATCCTTAGTTATGTGCTATAGGCCTAGACTAATGGGGGTTTCCTGGTGCACGAGCTCCTCCTCTCCCTTTTGCACTATTCATGTTCCATTAATGCATGTTACTAATTTCTTCTTCCCTGGGTTCTTGTCCTTTTCGTCTGCGGTTCTTGTCGATCCTGGTGGGCCTCCTGCCATGGTCCTGCTAGATTGCCATTGCCAATACTGTTGTTGCTGTGCACCTGTCTGTCGTCCCGCCCCCCTGCCCTCTGTCTCACCCCAACTGGTCGAGACAGACGACCACCACCTAGGCCGAGGATCTGTCTGGTTTCGGCCTTTTAACAGGCAGTTTTTCCTTGCCCTTGTGCCAAGTGCTTGCTCTGGTGGTACTGTTGGGTCTCTGTAAATAATGTTTTAAAGTTCCGTCTATTGATCCTGATCTATTATTGAAAAGTGTCCGGATAATCCTTCTATTATGAATTGGCGCTATACACATAAAATTGAATTCCATCCAGCTATTGAATCTATCCATCTATTGATCCATCCATCTATCCATCTATCACCAGACTCCATTCAAATAACTCCCAGATTAAAGGGGACATTTTATGCAAAACCAACTTTTGAATCATTTGATTATGTACATTTGGGACTCTGGAGGCCTATCAGCAGCAAAATGTGAAAAATAATCACTCAGTCATGTTTTTGTGGGCTGCCTCAGTCAGAATATAGAAGAGAAATCAGTCTGTTCAGATTTTTCCCCGTTAATGACGTCAGTTATGTTGCCACCACCGCAGTTTACTTCCTGTTGACTATCGGAGCTCCGCCATTGTTACTATAAAAGAACAAGCTAGGGGAGAACAAGCAAGTCCATCCAGCAGCCTGCAGCCTGCAGCCTGATGTCTGGGGAAAGGCTTCAGCAGACAAACTGTTCAGTCATTGGCTGCACAGCCCAACACTCATTTACATATGTATGTTGGCTTTATGTTGGTCTGTATTTAGTAGAACCGGGAAGATAAAGATAGATAGCTTTAATTGTCTTTAACCTGGTAACTTATTATCTGCTGGTAGCTCAGTATCTGTTCACCGTGTGGATCAATACAGCTGTGATCAGAAGACACCGTACTGTGTGTAATTCAGTGGAGGTCATTAGTTTGGTAGCATTGTAGCTTTGATAAGCACACAGCAGCTCTGTGATGTCACTGTGTTACTATGGTTACTGAGTCTGTCGGACTTTATGATGTAATATGAGGGGCAGTGTGATCGATAACCGATAATCGTTAGAAACTACCAAAATACAGAGAGTGAGTTATAGTGATTATTGTCTGTTTGTGTAACTTGCTAACGTGCTAACCAGCTGGGGCTAACTGAGTTGTTGTGTGTGTGTGTGTGTGTGTGTGTGTGTGTGTGTGTGTGTGTGTGTGTGTGTGTTATAGTGTGTAAATGAACTTGATCAACGTGCACCAGAGTTAACAATAGAGCTGCAGTGAGAGAGAAACAGTCAAAATGCTATACTATATTATATTATACTGTATTATATTATACTGTATTATATTATACTGTATTATATTACACTGTATATTATATTATACTGTATATTATATTATACTGTATATTATATTATACTGTATTATATTATACTGTATATTATATGTACAAGTAACACTGAATCTTCCATGTTTTACAGGTGACCTGATGAAGCTCAGGTGTTCCTGGACCCATCAGAGGACAGAGACAGCTGCAGCATCAGGACAGTCTGGGTATCCAAAGGAAGACTGATGAAGATGAACACTGACTGCAGAGCTCCATTACCAGCTCACACTTCAATATACTAGAAACCATAAACCTTGATGGAGGACATGATCTGCACAGTTTACATAAAAGTTCTAGCTTTGTTACTTACAACATGTGTAACTGGAATATGAATGAAATATAAATAAAGTGTTTTATTTTTAAGAAGAGTTTTGGTCATTTTTAAATTCAGTAATAAGTGTGGTTTTATATCAATAACATGTTATTTCACAAAGGTTTTATAAAGATTTTGAAAGAGTTGAAACTCTGGTCATCTATCAATATGAAAATGTGGAATTTAAACCTGTAATAATGACTGTAAGCAACACAATACATTACTGTCTCACAGTCAAATTTATTATGTTGGAAGATAAATTACATCACAATATATAATATAAATGATAGAATATTCAGTATACAGTATTTTTAATGGGGTTTAAACATAATTGCAGCTTTTACAAATATCTGAAGGTGAACTTTGGTAATAATACTTAGTTAAAATATCAGACTATGAAATATGGATACAGTACCGTTAACAGTTGGTTACTGAGCAGTTTTTAAACCCCATAAACAATTGACTTTGTTAGATGAGTGATTCCTTCAGTTATGTTGGCATGTTGTACAGGATAAAGTATTCCAGGTTTCTGTTTCCATGGTCTCAGTAAACTAATGGTTATAAAGAATATAACAGATGGGAGGTTACAGTAATCATTATACTATTACTCTGATTACTTTGGTACAGTTACTGGCTGTTTCTTCACTAAAAACAACTGCTTGACTAATGTTGTTAATATTATGTAATATATAATATGTTTAACTTCACTGGGCTGTGTAGACTGTAGGTCACTGCTCACTGCTGTACCTGGAAAGACATAAAACACAGTGTTGGTTCTCATAGTTAAGGTATAAACACTAACATTAGATAGATAGAGGTTAATATATATATATATATGTATATATATTAGTTATATGTATGTATATGTAATTAATATATCAGTATTTACCTGAGGAACTCGTCACAGAAAGCTGTAATCCTGATTGTTGTTGTTGATTTCAGGTCAGACTCCCGCTCTAACATGTCCGCTGGTGCAGTTTTTGGTTTAGAAGCAGTTATTGAATTAATATTGACGGTAGAAATGCAGATAAACGCGTCATAATGCCGACCAATCAGAGCAGACTGGGCTTTTCGGGAGGGGGGTCTTAAAGAGACAGGAGCTGAAACCGATCGATTCAGACAGAGGCTGAAAAGAGGAGCTCAGCTATCGGCAGTATGAGAACAATAATGTGTTTGTTGAACATTAAAACATCTAAACCTATTGTAAATAAACCTATAATAAACAAATACATATATCAACCTGACAGGGAATAATATGACTGCTTTAAAGATTCTGTAGGAACACAAAGTAAACAGTTCCTTAATATCAACATCAGCATCCATAAACAGATTATCAATGAGTGAACATATTGGTAACCTGATCAATGAGTGAACATATCGGTAACCTGATCAATGAGTAAACATATTAGTAACCTGATCAATGAGTGAACATATTGGTAACCTGATCAATGAGTGAACATATTAGTAACCTGATCAATGAGTGAACATATTGGTAACCTGATCAATGAGTAAACATATTGGTAACCTGATCAATGAGTGAACATATTGGTAACCTGATCAATGAGTGAACATATTGATAAGAGCAGGTCGGCGGAAGAGGGCGTGTCCGATAATGGAAGCGTATTTACGTTCAGCCTGAATGCTAACAGCTAGCATTGAGAAGCTAACGGCAGCAGCCTGTTAGCGCTGTTAGCATTTTAGCGGCTAACGTTGAGCTAACTAGCTCACATGCTGTTGATGAGAGAGGAAGCTAAAGCTAACAGCTGCTAACAAACAGACACAGAACATAAAGTCTGAAACAAACGATGCTCACCTGCTAACAGCTGCTAACAGCTGCACACTCTTCCTCTTCCTCCTCTTCCTCCTCTTCTTCAGCCTCTTCTTCAGCCTCTTAATGGCGGTGGGCAGCTTGTTCTACCGCCACCTGCTGGACTGGAGCGGAAACATCCTGTAATTAATATAATAAATATAATTAATATAATAAATATAATTAATATAATTAATACATTCATATTATTTTATTTCTTAAAGCAGTTTTAGTTTCATTCAGACTTTAAAATGAACCAGAAACACAAAATAACTCAATCTCATTATTTATTCTCATGTGTAAAATACTGATATTAACTAATATTAACTAATACTGATATTAACTAATACTGATATTAACTGATATTAACTAATACTGATATTAACTGATATTAACTAATATTAACTAATATTAACTAATAACTGATATTAACTAATATTAACTAATATTAACTAATACTGATATTAACTGATATTAACTAATATTAACTAATATTAACTAATACTGATATTAACTGATATTAATTAATATGAACTAATACTGATATTAACTGATATTAACTAATACTAACTAATATTAACTGATATTAACTGATATTAACTAATATTAACTAATATTAACTAATACTGATATTAACTAATACTGATATTAACTAATATTGATATTAACTAATACTGATATTAACTGATACTGATATTAAATGATATTAACTATACTGATATTAACTATACTGATATTAACTAATACTGATATTAACTGATATTAACTGATACTGATATTAACTGATATTAACTAATACTGATATTAACTGATACTGATATTAACTGATATTAACTAATACTGATATTAACTGATATTGATATTAACTAATACTGATATTAACTTGATATTGATATTAACTAATACTGATATTAACTGATATTGATATTAACTAATACTGATATTAACTGATACTGATATTAACTAATACTGATATTAACTGATATTGATATTAACTAATACTGATATTAACTGATACTGATATTAACTAATACTGATATTAACTTATATTGATATTAACTGATATTAACTGATACTGATATTGACAGATATTAACTTATATTGATATTAACTGATACTGATATTAACTGATATTAACTGATACTGATATTGACAGATATTAACTTATATTGATATCAACTGATACTGATATTAACTGATACTGAAATTGTTAATTTACAAATGGTTCTGTTACTGTGTTAGTGTTATACAGGTAGCTGAGATTATTAGATCTTAGTGCTGCATTTGACACCATTGACCATGATATTCTTTTACAGAGACTTGAGCATCAAATTGGCATTAAAGGAAACGCACTAAGCTGGTTGAGGTCATATTTATCAGATCGTCACAGTTTGTACATGTTAACAATGAATCTTCAATAAATACTACAGTTAGTCATGGAGTTCCACAAGGTTCTGTACTTGGACCAATTCTATATACTTTATAAATGCTTCCTTTAGGCAACATTATTAGGAATCACTCCATTAATGGATGAGTGTAGAAGCTCTGTGTTGGACTCACTGAGTGAGAAACTCCCTGATAGAAACACTTTGTAATATTGACCAGAGGAAACAGCAAGGAACCATATTGAACAGAGTGATCAGGGACTGTAATACATGGTTCTGACCACTGGGGGTCTCTAATGCAGCTCCATTATTAATGCAGTTATATAACAGCCTGCTGCTGCTGCTCTTATGTAACTCACATGGAAACATTCAGCATCTCTGAGCTGAGTGAGCTCACACTGCTGCAACATTTATAAAGTCCACCTCCTCCAGGTCCTGTACTACATCAGCCCCACTGGATCCATCACTAATAATCACTACTGAATCATAACCTGCATCAGCTGATACATCAGGAGCCTTTAATGACTCGTGCAGGAGCAACTAGACAGCAACAACCACAGATGGCAACAGACAGCAACAAACAGACAGAAACAACCACAGACAGCAAGTCTGTTTGTAGTCCGGACGTATTTCAGTTTGTAGTCCTATAGTCTGGAAGTTTTTCAGTTTGTAGTCCTACAGTCTGGAAGTATTTCAGTTTGTAGTCCTGTAGTACGGACGTATTTCAGTTTGTAGTCCTGTAGTCTGGAAGTATTTCAGTTTGTAGTCCTACAGTCTGGAAGTATTTCAGTTTGTAGTCCTGTAGTCTGGAAGTATTTCAGTTTGTAGTCCTACAGTCTGGAAGTATTTCAGTTTGTAGTCCTGTAGTCTGGAAGTATTTCGGGTTGTAGTCCTGTAGTCTGGAAGTATTTCGGGTTGTAGTCCTATAGTCTGGAAGTATTTCAGTTTGTAGTCCTGTAGTACGGACGTATTTCAGTTTGTAGTCCTGTAGTCTGGAAGTATTTCAGTTTGTAGTCCTACAGTCTGGAAGTATTTCAGTTTGTAGTCCTGTAGTCTGGAAGTATTTCAGTTTGTAGTCCTGTAGTCTGGAAGTATTTCAGTTTGTAGTCCTGTAGTCTGGAAGTATTTCGGGTTGTAGTCCTATAGTCTGGAAGTATTTGGTTTTTTTTTTTTCTTTTGGCCTTTTCATGGCTTTATTGGATAGGACAACTGAAGATCAACAGGAAAGGTGGGTAGAGAGAGAGGGGATGACACACAGCAAAGGACCGCAGGTCGGATTCGAACCCGGGCCGCTGCAGTATTTCAGTTTGTAGTCCTACAGTCTGGAAGTATTCAATTCAATTCAATTCAATTCAATTTTATTTGTATAGCGCCAATTCATAACAGAAGTTATCTCTTTTCAAAAAAGGGTTTCAAAACTTTTCAATTAGAGCAGGTCTAGACCGAACTCCTTACAACATTATTTACAGAAACCCAACAGTACCACCATGAGCAAGACCTTGGAGACAAGGGCAAGGAAACACTGCCTGTTAAAAGGCAAAAACCTAGGACAGATCCTCCGGCTCTAGGTGGGTGGTCGTCTGTCTCGGCCAGTTGGGTTGAGTGAGAGAGAGAGAGAGAGAGAGAGAGACAGAGAGAGAGAGAGAGACAGAAAGACAGACAGACAGACAGACAGGTGTACAGCAACAACAGTAGCAACAACTACACTAATAGTAGTGACTGATAATGATGAACATGACAATAACAACGATACTTATAAGAGAATAACACTAATATCAGTGATATTGGCAATGGCAGTCAAGCAGGACCATGGCAGGAGGCTCCACCAGGATCGATAAGAACCTGCGAGACGAGAAAGCACAAGAACTCCGGGGAAGAAGTGAAGTTGGTAACATGCATTAATGGGACATGAATGAGTGCAGAAAGAGAGAGGAAGAGAGGAGCTCAGTGCACCATGGGAAATCCCCCGATAGTCTAGGCCTATAGCAGCATAACTAAGGGATGGTTCAGGGCTCACCTGATCCCGCCCTAACTATAAGCTTTATCAAAGAGGAATGTCTTAAGCCTACTCTTGAATGTGGTGAGGGTGTCTGCCTCCAGAACCACAACTGGAAGCTGGTTCCACAGGAGAGGAGCTTGGTAACTGAAGGCTCTGGCTCCTGTTCTACTTTTAGAGACTATAGGAACCACAAGTAGCCCAGCATTCAGAGAACGTAGTGTTCTAGAGGGGTAATAGGGTACTATGAGCTCTTTAAGATATGAAGGGGCCTGACCATGAAGAGCTTTATAGGTGAGGAGGAGGATTTTAAATTCAATTCTACATTTTACAGGGAGCCAATGCAGAGAAGCTAGTACAGGAGAGATGTGATCTCTTTTTCTAGTTCCTGTCAGTACTCGTGCTGCAGCGTTCTGAATTAATTGGAGCGTTTTAATGGACTTATTGGGGCAACCTGATAATAAAGAGATGCAGTAATCCAGCCTTGAAGTAACAAATGCATGGATAAGTTTTTCTGCATCTGTCTGTGATAGGATGTGTCTAATTTTTCTAATATTACGTAAATGAAAGAAGGGAGTCCTAGAGGTTTGCTTTATGTGGGAGTTAAATGACAAATCCTGATCAAAGATAACTCCAAGATTTCTGACAGTGGTGCTAGAGGCCAAGGTAATGTCATCTAGAGTAACTATATCTTTACACAGTGAGTCTCTGAGGTTTTTGGGGCCAAGTACAATAATTTCATTTTTTTTATGAGTTTAACAGCAGAAAATTGCAGGTCACCCAGGACTTTATGTCCTTAAGACATGTTTGTAATTTAGATAATTGATTAATATCATCGGGCTTGATCGATAGATATAACTGCGTATCATCTGCATAACAGTGAAAGTTAATAGAGTGATTCCTAATAATGTTGCCTAAAGGGAGCATATATAAAGTAAATAGTATTGGTCCAAGTACAGAACCTTGTGGAACTCCATGACTAACTGTAGTATTTATTGAAGATTCATCATTACAAACTGCGAACGATCTGATAAATATGACTTAAACCAGTTTAGTGCGGTTCCTTTAATGCCAATTTGATGCTCAATTCTCTGTAAAAGAATATTATGGTCAATGGTGTCAAATGCAGCACTAAGATCTAATAATACAAGTACAGAGACAAGTCCATTGTCTGAAGCAATTAAAAGGTCATTATTAGCTTTAACCAGAGCTGTTTCTGTGCTGTGATGAATTCTAAATCCTACCTGAAAATCCTCAAATAAACTATTGTTATGTAGAAAGTCACACAACTGTTTGGTGACTACTTTCTCCACAATCTTAGAGAGGAAGGGGAGGTTAGAGATTGGTCTATAATTGGCTATGTGTTTGTACCACAGTGCTATTATTGTTTTAATAATTTCCTTTTTATAGGAGCGTTAGAATCTAATGTTCTTCGTAGTGAGCCAGCAGCACTATCAACAAGATTATCAATTTCGGAGGGTCTAAAGTTATTATAGGATTCTGTTAAATTCAGACATGGCATTGAATTAAACACTGATGGAATCTCCTACTTAAATTTAGCTACAGCACTGTCAGATAAACATCTGCTGTAGGAAGTTTTGCCTAATGGCTTATAATCTAATAATATGAATTCAAAAGTTATTAAATAATGGTCAGATAGGAAAGGATTATGTGGGAAGACTATTAAATGTTCAATATCAATGCCATATGATAGAACAAGGTCAAGAGTGTGA